TTGGAAAAAAATTGAGACTGGGAATATTCTCATTTAATATTGAAAAAAAATGAGAAATTTCTCAGTTTTATTGAATAGTTTCGCAAACTGAGAAATTGTTAATTTTGTATAGCTAAAAATATAATATTTTATTTTTATAAAATTTTATATTTAATATTGGTCTTATTTGATATATCTCATTGTGTAGACTCCAAAAATATAAATTTTATTAAAAATAAATATATAAAAAAAAAGTTATGAAGCTTTTAAGTTTTGAAATAAAAAAAAAAAGAAGTAAAATGTCACATCCACAATACCAATTGAATAAGAGAAAATGTCCAATAATTTTGAGGCTTGATTAGGTGATTACCAAAAGATTTGTAATTTGTGGAGAGTGTGGAGCTCATAATTTTGTATTCAAGCATAAGGCATAATGTTTAGTGATTAGTGAATAACATTGTCATGTGGTGTACTTATAACACCTAATAAATTTTTATTAATTGATGTTTCTCAATTCTTTCTGCCTTCTAATAAGGGTTAAACAGTCATATACATACATATTTTAAAAATAGGACTTTATGGATTTAAAAAAAATGACTTAATGAAATATTAACCTTGCCAATAGAACTTTTAGGTAATTAACTCTTAAATTATTTTTAGTCATAAAACCAAAAAGACTGTAATGCGCTATAATCAAATACTACTTAAGGCATAATTAAAAATATTTCCAGTTATAACCAAAATAACAACTAGGAACAGAGCCATCTTAAGACCAAGGAGGGTCATGTCCCTCCTAAACTTTTGATAGTTTCTGCCTTCTAATAAGGGTTAAACAGTCATATACATACATATTTTAAAAATAGGACTTTATGGATTTAAAAAAAATGACTTAATGAAATATTAACCTTGCCAATAGAACTTTTAGGTAATTAACTCTTAAATTATATAGAAAGATTATATATTATTTATTTCTTACAAAATTGTAATAGTGCCATTTCTTAAATTATGCAAAAAAAATTGAATTTTTAAAAATTAAAAAATGTTATATTATATTCTTTTGGTCATATTAATACACTCTTAACTCTTAATTGACAGATCAATATTAGAATCAAATAAATTGATAATTTCTATCCCATTATGGGGTATGTTTAGTTGATTATTTCTTTCCATTACGGAGCTCGTTGTTGAGGTGATAAGGTTGAACTTATTAATTGTATATTCAGTTGTTTGTTTGATTGTTGGGTTAATATAATTTAGTTGTTGATTGTGAATTCATAAATCCCTTGATATAAATTTCATAATAATTGTAATATTGTATCTCCCCAATTGACCAAAAATAAAATAAAAATGATATCTTCTTGTTGTTTGTTATGAATTTAATATCCTGATTAATGTGTGTTCCATCCATTGGAATTTCTAGTTCTGGCACAAAGGTCAAACCAAACCTCCAAGTAAGTTGTGACCATTATTATAAAAGTGATTCTATTCGCACACTATCTATCCTCTTAATACACATCATTACTTAATTCGTATCAATAATATTTTAAATTTTGATTTTTCACTCAACACACACCATATATAATATTATTTTAGCCTAACCCATATAACACAATACACACCTGTAGACATCCTATTTTAGTTGATCATTAAGATTTAGGCGCTTGAAATACTTCTCAATGATGAAAGGTATCATAATTTCAACCTTAGAGATGCTTGAAATTGTTAGAATTGTTGTGTTGTCATTTTCGTACCAAAAACTATTTTTTATCAAAATTACCATTTGTTGGTTTGTATTGAGGGCCTATTTTCGCCTAAAAAGAGTTAGAATTTGGAAATATCTATTTCACACAAAATGGTAACCCTTTAAGCTAGTTTTTGAATGTCACTCGATTCACTTCAATCCGATCTCGGATGATAAAAATATGCCCAAAATACGAAAAGATTGTGCATGTCCACATCCTTGCGAAGGCAGCCACAGATGCATTTTTCGTGCGTGCGCATATGCTTTGCGCGTATGCATATCCTTTGTGTGTGCATACATCCAATTGATGTCTAAAATTTTGATATTTTAGTGTGATTTCTTTGGGAGTGCACCAAGGGGGGCTTAGGTAATGCGTTAAAGGGGCGACTTAGGTAGTGCGTTAAGGGGGTTGCTTAGGGAGGTTTGCTTGGTGTATAACTATACTTACCATGATAGAGGTATAATGCTCTCTCTTAAACTCAAATAGATTTAAAGATAGAAACTTATTTAAAATTGAAAAAGAGGAAAAACAGAGCAAAAAAAGAAATTTTGACTAGTTATATAATTTTTTTTTTATTTAAAAAAATATAAAAACAATGAAATAAAAGTAGAAACCATGAGAATAAGGAAACTTATAAAAATATAAAAACTTAATAAATATGGATTGTTTTTTTAATCAGTTTAGAAGAGATAGGATAAGAAAGGAATGGGTTTGAAATATAAAAAATAAAAATAAAAAAAAATGAGAAAGAGGAGTATTGGGGAACAAGCACATGTGAGGGAAGAGAAAAAAAAAACAATTAAAGAAAAGAAGGCAAAGAAATTGGCTTGGTGGTACTGGCTGGGAAGAAGAAGAACAAACAAAAGAAAAGTAGTTTGTTAAAAGAGACGGGTTTGACGCGATAGACGTCTGAAATGAAGAGGACGGTGCCAGAAGAGGAACGGCTGATGTGATGGATAGATTTGAGGTTAAAAACGAAGACAATGGCTGGAGCAGCTGTGAGTGACGGCAACGATGGTTAAAGAAAGAGACGAAGGTGTGGCAGAGGAACTGAAAGGGAAATATGTTAGTGGAATGGATTGAGTTTCGGCGGACAGTTAAGATAAGACTATCACTTAGTGGTGAAATAAAATTATTAAGGCCTCGTTTGGGGAGTAGCTATTTTAGTTAAAAAGTGAAAAAATTAACTAAAATTAGTCACATCATCTCTCTACTTTTCTGCACATCTTTTCGTAAAAAGTTAAAAAATTACTAAAATAGCTTGTTCCCAAACGAGATCTAAATATATAATTTAACTCTAATACCATGTTAGAATTTCTAAAAAGGAGAATGAAAATATTACATTATGTGTATATTTTAATATTGTGTATATAATAATCTAATAATGTAAACAAGATTCCTTTATATAGGAGAAGAGAAACTTAAGTATAACAATGAATAAAATATGGTATGTATAATAGATAGAATATATAATTATTATACTTAACGCTATAATTGGGGTATAAAACTTATGTGTGATAAACGAACCAAACAGCTCAAGTTCGACTCATATTCGATTTGTTAAAAGTTCATTCAAGTTTGATTCATTAAATAAACAAGTCAAACTTGAACACATTTTAGAGTTCGTTAAGATTTTCAAATCAAATTTGAAAAGCCAATTGCTTATTTGACTCCATTTAATAAGTTTTAAATTATATAAAATATCAAACTGTTCAAACTCGATTCAATAAAAACTCGTTTGAGATTAACTAAAAAATTTAACAAATCAAACTTAAACAAATTTTAAAACTTTTTAATTCGTTTATCACCCATAATAAAGTTGTGCTCTTTCGGTTTTACCGCACTGATTCAGTGCTCTAAATTTGCACCACTAATGCTAGTTTTAATGAGTTAGTAGAAGTGGATCCACATCAACGCCACACCAATAGTGGTCTATTAGTAGTCTTCAATTAGTGGTCTGAAGCATATTTGTTGGTTTTATATAAGAGCCAGCCCCATAAATAATAATATTCTTTCTGTCTCAAAATATTAGTCATTTATTTCATTTTTTATTGTATCAAAATATTAGTCTCTTTTCAAAAATTAAGTACAAAAATAATATAAATTTTTTATTTTACTCTTCTTATAAATTTATTAATAATATAAAAAGTATAATTATGATATTGATATTTCTTAAAAAAATATACTATTAAAAAATAATTTTTTTTAAAAATAAATTGAATTTCTCAAAAGGAACCACGTGAACCACGAGTTTGTCGCCTAGTAGTTTGATCAGGTAAGGTTTTGAGATTCGATTGGATTTGTATCTAATTTGAGTTTCCTAGCTGCAACACGTCGTACTTACGGTAGGCGCCTACCGCGATGAGAAATTAATTGAGATGAATATTAAGGGGTTATTTGGGATATCTTAAATAAATGTATTTTTTATTTTTTTAGATTAAAAAATTGAGGAAAAAAGTATAAATATTTAGGTTAATTTTTTGACTTTTTATGAAAAAATATATATTAAAAAATTGTATAAATAAATGTGTAGCAGAAGATAGTGTAGTAGGCCGTACGAAATGGCAGGGCAGTCGGCTGATGAGTACATGGAAAAGATTGCCTCATTTTTTGGTTTTGATTGGACGGTGTTGTTCGGCCCGTGGAGACCCACCATGGGTCCCGTTTTTCTAATCGGAACTGTTCAATGTGTAGAACTCGTCGAATACTATATGCTTATAAAAATCACGTTGATTGGATATTGATAGCTATCTGATCGTGTTAGTTTTTTTGTCAACTGCTAACTATAATACCATCTAATTTTTATACAAAACTAATTTGATCATATAGTTAGCGATATTCGATAGACGTGATTTTTACAGGCATATAATACTAGACGAGTTTTACGTATACAACGGCTCGGATTATCAAAACGAGACCCATGGTGGGCTTCCACATGCCCAACCCTACCATTCAATTTAGTGAATGTACACATTTTATTTTATTTTTTCCACTCATTGCAGGTGGCTTGATGTCAGTACGTTGATGGGTGTGAAAAATTAAACTTTTATATTAATTTACCATTCAAATTAATATTTATATATATTAAATTTTTAATATTTTTTCTAAGTAAATAGTGATAACTTTTAAATATTTTTAATAATTTTTTATTTTTTTTTTAAACTTGTCAAACCAGCCTCAAGCTAGTCCAAACACCACGTGAGAAATCAACAAAAAAAAAAAAAAAAGAATAAAAAGAAAAACAAAACCTATCACGTGCAAGCTGAAAATACTTCAAATGTAAAAGATATGTTTGTTAAATAACATGTCTCTTTCAAAACTCTCCTCGATCCAATATTTTTAACGAAAGTTTGGAATCTTAATTTCCTTATAAAAACCATATCATTTACAAAAGGATTTCATCAAAATTTCAGAGCTCTCTAAAGATGGAACTAGTGTCTTCGTACCATTGTCCCTCATCCTTCACCATTGTTCGCCGTGGCATGGTGTTCCAACCACAGCAACAATGGACAATCACGGCAACCCAATCACCCTCATCGCGCTTACTCATAAAAACTACAAATAAATTTCAAGTGAATCCACGACGATCAGCTAATTATCATCCTAGTATTTGGGATCCCAAGATCATTGAGTCAATAAACACACCTTATACGGTAATGTCCTCACTTGTTTATGTATGTGAATTAGTTTTAGATCATTTGAGATTGGTCTAAACTTGGCTTAATTATTTTGTAGTATGAGTTATATGGGACCAAATTAGAAGAGTTGAAGCAAGAAACTAAAAGGGTTCTTCAATCTACTAGAGACCAGTCAAGTCTGTTGAAGCTCATTGACTCAATGCAAAGGTTGGGAGTGTCTTACCATTTTGAGGAAGAGATAGAGGAGGCTATTAGTGATCATGTTAATCCCATTGTTAATGGCAATCTTTACACAACTGCATTGCATTTTCGGCTACTAAGACAACATGGTTATCCCATTAACTCAGGTATGGTGTTGATATTTGTTGGGAATAAACCCACCAAAGCAAGCAATAGTAGCAAAAATAAATAAAAATAGACCAAAGGAAAGAATACAATAGAAATTTACTTATATATTTTTGGTAGAGTGATTATAATTTGTGGTTTAGAAATAAAATAATATATATTTTTGATAATATTATATATTTTGTGATTTGAAAATATTTGGATGAAAAATATGTAATATTATCACGTAAGTGCATATTATTCCTACAAAATGCAAAAATTTTATTTATGAATCAGAAGAAGTCGTAACTTTATTAGATAACATAATATTTATTTCAAAAATACGAATATGTAAAAAAATATAAAAAATAACGAGATACATGCTATACACATGCACAAAGGGATATTTTAAAAGGAGGAATTACATGTCAGTGAGATTTTTGCAAAATATTTACATGTTAATGGAACAGTTTATACATTTACTATTAATGTTTATAAATTTTATCATTGATTTAAAATTTAGAAAGAATATTAAAAAAATAAAGAATAGAAGAAATAATTGTAAAGTAATAGATGTATAAGTAAATCATGTATTAAATTGTGTAAATAAAATTTATAACTTCATCACTTTACAATTATAATTTTTACTCATATTTTTTTTTTATTTTTTTGATAAAATTTGTCCTAAAATTCATCTTTAAAAAGGACATTGTAATTCTCCCTTTCTTAAATTGTATAGCCAATTGTGGCACGAGAAATGTTAAAAATTTTGTTAAAACTTTTATCAAATACCTTGTATAGGTACACAACTCACATCATATATGTTTCATAAGATCCCATATCTATACGACACATTTAATAAAAAATTTGACGAAATTTTAAAAATCTGTACCATTTTTATTGTAGCACCACCAAGAAACTGTTACATCACACCAACCAAAACATAGCATCACATCTGTACAGGTCCCATGATAACTCACTTTTAGGGTTGGTTTGGGGTGTCTTAAAAAATGTGTATTTTTTGTCTTTTTATCAAAAAATATACAGAAAAGTAGAGAGATGATGTGATGAAAAAAAGATAAAAATATAAAAAGATAAATTATATAGTTCATGCCAAACCAACCCATTATAGACAGAAAAATTCGACAGGCATATGTGTTTAGGATTCTCTCTTTCAAATTCCTTGTTCTTTGTGCTTTTATGCATTCTGAGGTCTCGTTTGGCAATTGAACTTTTTAGTTAAAAATTTAAAAAGTTATTAAATTAGTCAAAAAATTAACAACTCATACTAAAAAGTCAAAAATTCTATTTTTTCTCTACTTTTTACATATTTTTTCGTAAAAAGTCAAAAAGTCATCTCAAATATATTAGTTTTTTTTAACTCATATTTTAATTAAATAGTTAAAAAATTACTAAATTAACCTGTTCGAAACGAGTTCTCAATTGTTTTATGTGTGGAGAATTTTAAAATATAATTGTATAGGTTATGAGGGTAACTGGACATTACATTCGCGTATGAGGGTAACTGGACATTACATTCGCGTATGCAATGTATATTTGTTCTAAAATATTTGAAATTGACATATGGTTGATAAATGTTTTTTTTTTTTGGAACAAGTGGTTGATTTTTTAATTGGAAATTGAGGGATGAGAATTATCTATCTCAAAAACTGTGCCTGTGTTTGGTTTGGATTTTGAAAATGATTTTTTATTTTTTTATTTATTTATTTATTTTAAGATTGAACTTATTATTGGGATTTCAATATAAAAGAATTTGAGAGATTTGTAGAATTTATCATAGGTCTTGTTTCGATAATTTGCATCGTTCACTTTTTAAGATTCATTAAATAGAATACTCATGTCAAACATCAAGATAATTAGACATCGATAGCTATATATTTGAATCAAATTTATATTACAAAAAATAGATAGTTATTTTTAAAATTATATTTGTCATTCATTTTTATAAAACAAATATGATTCGAATATGTACTTACTGATATCTAATTATTATTTTTTTTTGCAAAAATATTAGACTCAATAAGTCTAAAAATGTGAACAGTTTAGATTATCGAAATCAATTCCAAAATAGGCTCAATAAGCCTAAACGCTCTCTTAAATTGATACGACAACTTGGGAAAATCAAAACCCATTTTGAAAGCCCAAAATTGAAGCTCATTTGTTATTCACTGTTCCGAAAACTATTTTAAATCTATTTCTATTCCCAAAACTATTTCAAATCAAATTCATCTCTATTTAAACTGCATTTATTTTGAAGTATGTAATATATCATATTTTTAAATTAATTGAATTTTTTTGGATGAAACTTTGTAAAGAAATTATTTGCAAATTCATATAAAAATTTAAATAAAATGAATTTATATTTCAGATTAATATATTTTTTTGAAAATAGTGAAAAAATGTGTTATATGTTAGTTTATTTAGATTAATGGATCTAAAAACTTATTTGTTTTTGTATATTTGTTAGTATGCATCTTTTGGCAAAGGTTAAAAGCAGTTCTTTTTTTTTTTTTTTTGGTTGTTTTAGGTTACATCACCTCTACTCTTTTCCATGTTTAAAAAAATTTTAAAAATTAAAAAATCAACTTTTAACTTATTTCCCAAAATAAGTTATTCACCCAAGATTCCCAAAATAAGTAGTGATTTTTAAAAATATTCTTTAAATAAATTATATATATATATATATATATATGTATATTTGTTACTATGTAGTGAGTTTTATTTTTTTTTTATTTTATAAATTTATAGTTTTTAAGTATAGATTCAGTAGATCAACTAGGACATTTAAACTTTGTTTGAAAACATATTTTTTTAGTTAAAATATGATATAAAAAAAAATTTAGTATGTTTGAAATTTTTTTTTGACTTTTTACGAAAAAATATGCAAAAAGTAGAGATGAATTTTTTTTTTTGACTTTTTTTGTATAAATTGTTAGCTTTTTGACTTTATTAATAATTTTTTAACTTTTTAACTAAAAAAATCACTTGTCAAACGAGGCCTTAGCCTCGTAATTGTCTAACACTATGAGGTTTTAGGTTCAACTCCTGCGAAGACAGTTTGATATCCTTTGTAAAGGTGTTTACTGATTGTTAGGCTTGGACAGAGTGGCAGTGGTTGTTGGGTAAGAGTGAATTAAAAAACTGAAAAATAATGGTTAAACTATTTAACAGGGTTTTGTTAACAAGTATTTAAGAATGTTTGTTTTATGGTTAGACCAAAATTACCCTTTTTGACATTTCTCTACATTTTTTATTTACTTTTTAGTTGACATTTTAATTTTGTTGACTTTTTTTTTTTAATTAATAACTTTGAATTATATGAACAATACTTTTGAAAATTCATACAACAAAAAACTATGTGATAATTTATTTAACCAAACAAGTTCAATTTTTTTTTTTTCTTCTGTTGCGCCAAATAAATTTACAATTTATTTATAAAATTTTTAAGCTAATAATCTTTACAAGAATTTTAATTTTATAAATTTCACCAAATAAGCTCATTATAGAGTCTCATTATCTTGAACTATTACTTTGTCTATTACCATTGCATGCATTTCGTTAATTTGTGAAAAATATATTATGACATATCAGAAGAGTAACTCATAACACGTGGAAAATAAAAAAAGTTTAGTTAAAAAAGGTACATAAAAAAAATAAAGAAATATCAAAAAGGGTATTTTGGTCTAACTATAAAATGAGCATTTCTTAATACTATACATTTACTGTTTTTTCTTACTGGGGACAATTAATACTCATTTAATGCCATTAACAAAATCCTAAATAAAAATTCACAAGAAAATATTAAAAAGGATATTTAGATTAACTGCATCTAAAAAGTAAAAAAGATTGACAAAAATACAATAGAAGTTACTTTTGAAAAATACGGAAAAAGTTTACTAAATACAACAAAAACAAAAAACAAAAAACAAAAAACAAAAAAAACTCAAAAATTAGTTTTAAAAACTCAAAACCAAGTAAGTTATTGGTTTTCAAATTTCTAAAAATTATTTTTAAAATATACAACGGAAACAAATTTTCAAAATTTTAAACTCTTTTCACAAAATTGTCTTTCAAAACCAAACTAAATGCACCCTGTCTCTGTCTTAATTCACGCACAACTGTTTGAGTGAATTGAGACAGAGAGAATCTTTAACCAATGTTTAAACATGGTTGTTGCGAGAGAATTTGAAACAAAAGGACAAAATATGAAGGCATAGGATCTACTATGCTACAGAGGCATAGGCAGACAATTATTCTATATATATGGGTCCTTTAGTTATAACTTTTTTAACTTTGGAATCATGATTACAACCAGATGTTTTCAACAAATTCAAAGATGGAAGTGGGAGATTCATGGACAGCTTAAGGGAGGATGTGGCAGGACTAGTGAGTTTATATGAGGCTACACACCTTAGAATGGATGGTGAAGATGACTTCGAAGAAGCCTATAGTTTCAGCACAAAACACCTAAACTCATCATTTGGGAAGATGGGGATTGAACTTGGTGCGCAAGTGAAACAGTCACTGGAAATCCCACTCCATTGGAGGATGCCAAGGTTAGAAGCAAGGAACTCCATTGATCTCTGTCTCATGGAGGATTCAAAGCCCTCTGTTTTGCTCAAGTTTGCAAAGTTGGATTACAATCTAGTGCAATCAGTACACCAGCAAGAAGTCCAAGAATTATCAAAGTAAGCTTTACTCTGACACAAATGCTTACTTTGATGGATCAAAGATCGATGATTATGATTATGAAAATAACATACATAAACAGATATTTACAAAATTTCCTACATTAGACACCAAAACATTGAGTATCAAGCATATTTATTAACCTTGCAGAAAACAGACAGCCAAGTGTGAGCCCAATAGTTTTGTAATTCATTTTTGTGCAACCAGTGAAATTGATTTGTCAATGTATAATGTTATTTAATTTAGTCCAAATATTAAAATGTTTGAAGATTTTATTTCATTAGGTGGTGGAGAGACTTGGGTTTCAAAGAAAAGCTTGAGTTTTCAAGAGATCGTTTGATGGAGAATTATTTGTGGGCAATGGGAATTGTTTTCGAGTCCCAGTTCTCCAAATGCAGGAAATGCCTTACTAAATTTGTCTGCATACTAACAGCCATTGATGACATGTATGATATATACGGATCGCTAGATGAGCTTGAACATTTTACTAATGCAGTCAATCGGTATGATATAGAACAACAAAAATTGTTAATTTTTTTCATTAACTGCATAAATCTCAAGCATTTTATGTACCTATCTGTCTTAATTAATTCAACAGATGGGACCTTAAGGCCATGGAGGAGCTCCCAGAGTACATGAAGATATGTTATTTGGCTATGTTCAACTTTGGAAATGAAATTGCATATGATGTTCTCAAAAACCATGGCTTGGATGTTCTGTCCTACATTAAGGAACAGGTAAAATTTTCAAGATGGACAGTTCTGTTATTTATCTTAATAATGCATCTGGTCTTTTTGTGCAATAATGATCACATGTAATTATTTGATGATTCCAGACTATCATGTAAATTTTGGTTCTCAATTATTCATGGTATGTCACATTGAAAGGTGGGATTTTAGATCCCACTTTTATCAACGTAGCTAACTATAATTGGTCGGCTGAGACCAAAATTTTCAGGTAGTCATGGACAATCAAATTTCCCCCCTCAAAAACCGATTGTTGTATTCAACTAATGACAATCAACTGGATCAGATCAGTTGGTTATTTATGTACACTTTTAACTGAGAGATCAGATGATCAATCTTTGTCAAAGATAAAGATTAAATAATTTTTTCTCTATCACTGGGCTATATCTTAAGTTATTTATTCTCCACTATGGTGTTCTTTCTTCTATTAGGCTTAAGGATGTGTTTTGAATTTTGATTATCCAATTGGATGTAATTATTATGATATTAAAGAAAAACAGTGACAATTAATAATGTGAAATTGCAGTGGACAAATCTTTGTAGATCATATTTAGTAGAAGCAAGGTGGTTCTACAGTGGGTACACTCCAACATTGGATGAGTACTTGGACAATTCGTGGACTTCTGTGGGTGGCCCTGCAGCAATAACCCATGCTTACCTGATGCTAGGGTTCCCCCTAACTCTAGATTCTCTTGATGGATTGAAGATTAGTTCTGATACAATTTACTGGGCATCTCTCATTACCCGACTAAGTGATGATTTGGGCACTTCCAAGGTAATGCACACCCTATAATACATGTGCAATTAACCCTCACAGAATGGTTGTAATCAAATCATTCAAATCTTTAAAGGCTTTTTTTCCCTTTCTTATTTTTTTTTTCTCTTTTTTGAAAAAAACAGAAGAGATTTTTGAAGAATTTTTCTTAAAACAAATGACTTGTATAAAAAAAGAATTAAAATTCTTGAACTTTTATAAATGATTTTCAAGACAAAAATAAACATATTTTGTTACTGGAAAGTCCCATGAATTTTCTTGTTGACTAAAGTCACGTGAATTTGAAAATGTACGCTGTGAAGTCCTTTTACTATATTTCTTAAAGATTCCAAATATGGGTATGCTTTATTTGTGCACTATTATTTTATTAAATTTTTGCCAAATGTGTCATTCTTAAAATGTGACAATAGGATATCATTATAATATGTGTCATTTTTAAAATGTGATAATGGGACATCATTCTAATGTGTACATTATTGTCTTGTTAAACTTTTACCAAATGTGTAATTTTTCTTAAAATGTGATAAGAAAATTATCTTATTAAACTTTTACCAAATGTGACATTTTAAAATTGTGACAGTTGACGTTTGTGCACTATTGTTTTATTAAACTTTTGTCAAATGTGTGTGTGTGTGTTTTTTTTTTCAACGTGACAAAAGGACATCGTTCTAATATATGTATTATTGTGGATATGCTTTATTTGAAAGATTTTAATGCGAGATAAGACTTATAAGTTCATAAAAATATTTATGGGATTAAATGGTCCATAAGTCATGAATATAGGATTATTATTAAATATGCTTCTTCTTTTTTTCAAAAGATGAAAACAAATATTAAAAAAAAAAAAAAAAAAAAAAAAACAACAACAACAACAACTACAAGTCAAATTAGCCTACCTAAAATATTATTGTAAATTTGGGTTTCATTTGATGTAGCGCTTAAATCATATTAATTCCACTTCTTATTTTATTTCTTACTATTAGTATCACATAAAATATGGATATCCAAATATGAATATTATAACATTACTGACTTGAGTATTGACGATCATAGTTTTAAGCCTGACTAACTACATTGTGTTGATTGTTGTAGGATGAGATTGAGCGAGGGGACGTGGCCAAATCCATACATTGTTGCATGATCAAGGAAGGTGTTTCAGAAGAAGAAGCACGAGATCGCATTAAGGCCCTAATAAGCTTTTCATGGAAGAAACTTAATGAGGCAACTGCTAAGATTAATCACCGTCATCACCCTGCTAGGTTCATAGTAACTATGTCATTAAACATGGCCAGGACTGCACAAAGCATATTTCAGCATGGTGATGGCATTGGTACTTCAATTGGGATCACAAAAGATCGCTTGACCTCTTTGATTGTCAAACCCATTCCAATTCCAATGCAACATGTAAATCACCAAGCAATGTTACAAGAACCCAATCTTTTACCAGTGGCCATGTAATTTGTGAGATTAGTTAATTAATTATGAACATATTTTATCCTTGGCAATTTCAAGATTTTTCCAAAACTTGTGTGCATGAGAGATCAAAGACCACAAGCTACTCTGCAAATTGCTTTGATCAGATCGTTAGCATTACATTGGTTTACTAGAATTGGATGTTCACAATTCAAAAAATGATTTGTTTATTTATTAAATTAATCTGCTCTCCATGAATCAAACGGATCTACGATTTCAAAATTTACTAATCAAACTAATTCGTGAAACCTTTAGAACTAAACTAGAATCAAACATTAGAAGCAGTTTAGTTCAAGTTCAATTCCATAGTTATAGGTTAGAAAATTTATCACTGTATCTAGAGTAACAAAAATTGATTCTACATATACAAGTAATTCAAAAATTACATGAGTACGCTTCAAACTTTTGGAATATTAACTTTTATAAAATATGTAAAGACAAAACAAATTCTTCATAATTTTTAATAATATAAGAAGTGCAAAAATCATATAAATATAATAAAAAAAATTATACACACATTTTTGTACAAAGAGAAAGTAATTTGTAAATATGATGTCGGATCGACGTTGGAATGAGATTGTTGTTAGAATAAGTCAACGATAAGAAAAGTAAAGTATCTTGTGGAACACCCTATACATAATAAAATTAATGAAACATCAAATGACTCAATTCGGTTTTATTAGGTTCTTTTGAGTCTTAATCATAAATAAAACCTTAAATGATTCTTAATTTTTTCAAACAAGAAACAAACCATCTTCCCCTCAAAAACTGAACAAAACCATACAATTTAGACTGATTCAAACTGATTTATGGTTTGGCTGATTTTTTGAACGCCCTACCATTGATATTTGTTTTTAATGAGAGTAACGCAAAATATGCAATGACCAACCTAAGCTGAAAGAGTCAACTTAGTTTACTTGGGTTACCCTTACCTCGTTAATGTCCTCTTGTTCCCTCTCAAACATTTCTCATTTACATTCTTCCCCTCTCCCCTTCTACTCCAACGACCCCAATCTTGAATCACCTTCCACTTCCTCTCCTCTCTCTTGCCACAACTCATTCTCCCTTTAAATCTCACACTACAGTAGTGATAGTAATAGTCATGTAGGTGCTTTAATGGCAACAAACCTTAAACCCTTAAAATTACGCCACAATGACAACTCTGGAAGCCATCTTCACCGACCAATTGAATTCTCAATCGGCTTTGAGTTCTTTGTCAATTGATTTAGTTTGATGGTGATCTATGTTAGCGATTTGAGTTCTCTATGTGTGATTGTTGCATCAAAGAGCATTGGGACCACTTTCGATCTCTCTCTTCCCATTGTATACATCAATTACATTCAATGTATGACACTATTTGGTAATGCTACAATTAACACTAGATAACTTCGATCTTGTTTAAAAGGATAGCACAAGACGTTAGATTTTTCATGTCTTTAAGAGATTATCATGTCTGATCTAGAGCTTTGCCAAACTATTTAGTAAGGAACTCTTCTTGATTGTAGGCCTAATGACTAGTAATCTCTTAATAAAGTTGTTTATTGCAAAATAACCTTTTATTTATGAGACACTTACGGGCTGATCCTATTGACTAGACTTATTTATATATAAGTCCTGACTGATAAATTTATCATTGTAAATTTATTTATTAATATCCATCATCCTTATTCATTCACCATCCTCTTACACATACACAAAGAACAAAAGAGATTGATAAATTTATTACTGAAAATTAAATCTAAATCTGAATCTAGTTTGTAACAGATCTGGTTTGAAAGAGAGAGATTTAGAGAATCACCATTGTTTAGAGTCATTTTATGTTATTTCACCATTCGAAACAAAGGTGGTGGTGGTGATATGGTGGTTGTATAGATCAGCGACAGTGGTAATATAGTGTATAGATCGGCGATAGTGGAGATAGTTAGTAAATGGTACTGGCATCCGAATAACGATGGTGGTGATGGTGGGTGGACGATGACGGTAACGATGGTGGTAGACAATGTAATATAGTGTATAAATCGATGATGGTGGAGATAGTTGGTGAACTGTGCTGGCACCCGAATAACAACAGTGGTGGTGAGATAAAGAGAGAGAGAAAGAGAGAGAGAAGAGAAGATGAAAGAGAACTTGTAGGACCTATTGATGCATTCAAAAAGTTAATAGGACTTAATGGTATTTAAGTCTACTTTCTTTTTCTTTTTTTTTTCTTTTTGTATCGGTGAAAGTCAGTTGTTAGTTGTTAGATTAGCACCATAAGAGAGTTAGCCTCTCAGCCTTTGTAAAGCACCAAGTGCTTGCCTCCTAATTCTACTCCCCCTTATGGAGAGTTGAATTTATGACCCCCCCTTTAGAAGTAACCCTCAGGAGAGTCATGGTGGCTAATTAGGCTAGACCTAGTTAGTTGTATTTAAGTCTACTTATTGGGATTAGTTTGCAATTATCCCCTTTATTTTTATTATTTATTTATTTTTATAATATGACCTAAGAAAAGTGTGGTTCAAAAACAATTATATAACATATATATAACAAAACATGGCTAGTTTTGAAAATGTGTTAGAGACATTTGTCCTATGTGGACATTTGAATGGCTCAAATTAGTTCTAAGGGGAAGATCCAACGGACGTCTGCAAAATTATTTGGCTTAGATCATACAATTAAGATTTAGAGCCTTTCTATTTTAAATTTTGAAATTTGACACTATAACATTTTCTTAGTTTAGTGACATTTGAAAATGCCACAAAACTATTGGTTTAATGACATTTTTTAGTTTTGTGGCATTTTGAACAAGTGCCATTTGTATCCGTGCCATGGTAGATACTAGTGTCACGGTAGATACTTGCAAGTGCCACTACACCATCATGGCTAAAAACTTTCAATAACATTTTGATGTCATGGTAGATATTATTTGTGACACCATCAAGCGCCATTAAAAAAAGAGTTAGTGACATTTATAAGTGTCATTATACCATCAAGACTAAAACCTTTCAGTGACACTTTAATGTCATGGTAGACACTATTCGTGACGTTATCAAGTGCCATTCGTGACGATAATTAGTTGTAGAACAATTGGATCCGCTCTTGCGGAGACTCGAACCGCCAACCTCCCGCACCATAAACCTTATACACCACACTCTTCCCACTACACCTCTATAGCACCACATGATTATATATGCAGCATATATTATTTATATAGTACATACATTCATATTAATATAAAAGTATATGTATAAACATAATTATTTTATTAAACATAATGTATGTAAAATAAACTATTTACTAGCAAAATAAAAAAAGACCACTTTTGGCGACTAAAAATATTTTTTGGTCGCCAATTCTATACTTTTGGCTACTAATTGTTTTTTAGTTACTAAAAAACTTAACTTTTGCAGACTAAAATCGGATTTGGTCGCCGAAGATGCACTTTCAGCTACCAAAATTTTGGTTGCCAAAAAATTTAATTCCCGCCTTAGGATTTTAGTTCACCCGCACTAAAAATGACCACTTTTGGTGACTAAACTTATTTTTTAGTCGCCAATTGTAGACTTTTGGCTACTAAATTTTTTTTTAGTTACTAAAAAACTTAACTTTTGCAGACCAAAATCGGATTTGGTCGCCGAAGATGCACTTTCAGCTACCAAAATTTTGGTCGCCAAAAAATTTAATTCCCGCCTTAGGATTTTAGTTCACCCGCACTAAAAATGACCACTTTTGGTGACTAAACTTAATTTTTAGTCGCCAATTGTAGACTTTTGGCTACTAAATTTTTTTTTTTGACACCAAAAAGCTTTACTTTTGGCTACTAAAATTTTTTTAGTCAGTAAAAACCATATAATCAGCGACCAAACTTATTTTTAGTCGCCAATTGTAGACTTTTGGCTACTAAATTTTTTTAGTCACCAAAAAGTTTTACTTTGGGCTACTAAAAATTTTTTAGTCACTAAAACCCATATAATCAGTGACCAAACTTAGTTTTAGTCGCCAATTGTAGACTTTTGGCTACTAAAATTGTTTAGCCGCCAAAAAGCTTTACTTTTGGTAACTAATGTTGTTTTGGTCGCTGAAAGCTATACTTTCAGCGACCAAATTTTTTTTGGCCAGGAAATTTAGTCGCCGAATGTGCTTTTTCCTATAGTGTATATTGAGTTTAATTTATTTATTTTTAATCATTTACTGCATTTTAAAAATTTAGAAAATATATTGGCATTTTTTGTTTTTTCAAAAATGCCATTATAAGCTTGGAAAGTTTTTGGCTTAGTGACATTTCTCAAAATGCTATAAAATATTTGTTTATGACACTTTTTACCTAAGTGTTATAAAAAGTAATTTGCACCTACCTAGTGTCCTAACATTTTTAAAAAAATGCCATTGCGACTAAAGTTTAAGTGGCATTTGTTGGTAAATGTCACGAACATAATTTTTTGCGTCATTATTTTATAAAATGCCATGAAATTGATGTGACATTTCTTTATTGAATGTCACTAGAGCCTTATATGTTTGTGGTTCTGTGGCATTTTTCTAAAACATTTAATGGCAATTTTTATTTTTGTGGCATTTTCTAAAAATATGCCACTAGTGTAGTGTCACTAAAGTGTAAATTTGTTGTAGTGACATTTTTGTTGTAGTGAAGTGACACTTTTTTTAATTGAAATGTCACTAGAGCCTTGTATGTTTGTGGCTCTATGACATTTTTCTAAAAAATGCCACAAAATATTCTTTTTGTGACATTTTTTAAGAACATGCCACTAGTATAGTGTCACTAAAATGTGTTTTTGTTGTAGTGTGAAATTTTGAAGGTTAATTTAGATTGGGCTAGATTATAATGGGCAATGCCTTTAGGTACGAGTTATTTGTAGGTATATATAAATCAAGGATAAACTATATTTTGCTCCCATGTACTTTATACTAAATCACTAAATCTCTTTTTGGCCTCTTGTTTTTTATATGTGAAAGTCAATTTCTTATAATTTCAATCAAGTACCAATTTCATAATTTTTTTAAGCTTTCATTCAAATGAGTAATAGAATCTCAATACGTAAGGCTCACATTAGGGGTGCTCACGAATCGAGTTGGGTTGGGTAGCCTCTCATCCGTCATCCATCTAAACTTAGGTTGATTGAAAAAAATCAATCCGCAT